TCAAACATCTTCAATGGCCCTTACCAACAATATGTTAAGTCCAAAAAATGAAGTTGCTAAAGAACAGATAGCCTTGCTCTTATTAAAAGTTAGTACCACTAGAAATGAGGTGCATTTTTCTTTCTTCTACACACAAAGTAACATTTTTTTATCAAGAACATGTCAGACATTATAAACAACAAAAAGTCAGAATAGGACAATTTTTTCTCCTTTCTTTGTACTCTATACCATATTTCATACAATTGACCATTTCCTTTTCTTCTAAATATTCTCCTTTGTTTTAAGATATTACTTTTGACTGCTTCATTCTCCTTCTGTCTGTAGGGCAGTTTCTTTTTAATTCTCCTTTCTGATTTCAGCTTCTTCCACCCGTTTAAGGCCGATGCTACTCACAGTTTCAGTTTGATCATTTTCCTCCTCTCCTCAAACACTATTTGGTTAATATCATTCACACTTTTGATCTCACATTCAGGCTAATAACCCCCAGACACACATCCATCTTTAGTGCGGACCTCTCTTGGATTTCTTTTTTAAAAATTTGTTTACTTTTCATATGTTGCCACGTAAAGGTTCCATTGAAATGTAAAGTTGAGCTGTATGAGAGCATGTACCCAAAATTGTTTAAACCATTTCATCAATATTATCTCATTGGACTTTCATAAATCTCTGTGAAATAAGGATTATTGCTATTTCCATTTACAGATAAAGGAAATGAGACATCTTGTTCTTGATACTTTCCCAGGGTCACTAAACTAATGAGTGATGATCAGAGTTCATTACTCATTTCCACACTGACGAAGCTCTTTCAACCTGAAACCTAAATAAATCCTGAACTACTCACGTAAAATAGCTTCTGTATTTTAGTGATTTTTTTTGTTTGTATCAGGAATCAAACTCAGGATCTTGTGCTTGCCAGGTAGGTGCTGTGCCACTAAGCTATATATATCCCCAGCCCATTTGAATGATTTTTAAATATCAGTATCTTTCTAATTCAATCTTTCCTGGCTAATTCTATTAGCTTCACTTGATCAGTTCTGATTTCTTTCCTCAAACACCTCAGTAGCTTTTCCCTTTAACCTGTGCTCCTTCTAATATATTCCTCCCACTGCTGAGAGTGACCTTTCCAGTCACAAACATGGAACATCCTCACCGAAAACTATCTAGTGTCTATCCACTGCTTTCATGAGCAGAGTTTGTAAGGCAAAGAAACTTCATCTGCCACCACTATTACGTGCAGACATACGTATATTTACAATTTCCTGAAAGGCGTTACCCTGATCTACAAATACATACCTTTTCAGATACCTTCCTTTATCTTTAGACCCTCTCCTGGTTAAAAAATATGATTCATCTAATTGCTTTTTACCTTTGTGTCTCAACTCTTATTGAAGTCTCTGGAATTAGGGTTCACAGTTTCTATTTTTGCACCTTCTGTATCTCCACAGTACTTGACACAGGGTAGGCACTGAGTAAACACAGGATGAAGGACAGACACACGACTGGGATACTTTATGCTTATCTCTAGTGTTCTATCAGACTAAGGAGACAAGCACTGAACAAAGAACGAAATTGAGTTTGGCATTTGTGATTCCACTGTAGCCCTTTAAGCAAAGCTTTGATCTTGCATTTCCTTCTAACTATAGCATCCATGATTCTATTCTACTAAAAGTCAACCGATGATACCTTGTGCTAGCACCAGTTGCCCCCAAAGCAGGACCACCTAGAAATATAATTCTGCACTCTGGGGAATTAGATCAAATGGCATCAGATAGCAGACACAGTCTGGCAGCCCTCCACGCCAGTGTCCACATCTATTAAGTTTGTTTACTAACTAGTCACATTATCTATTTCATGTTGGGATTTCTTTAGGGTGTGGTAAAATTGGACAGATGGGTTGAAAGCCTTCCTTCAGGCATAATGCACATAGTATTGGGCAGATGGGTTCCAATGAGCAAGCTCCAGGCTTAGAAAACATGGCTACAACACAAAGAGAAAGAAACTACCCTTATGTAACAATGTGTAAAAATATAGTTAGAAATAGAGAAATTTAAAAATAAGATTTGAAATACATAAAGCAAAACTGGAAAATCATACAGTGTTTTTCCCTGTAAAGGTCCAGACTTTTAGGACACAAGTTAAACACTTGTGTTTAATAAGGGATCCCACAAACCTAAAAATAACTTTTTAAAAAGATCAACCTTAGCAATAAAACATGCCAACCTGAAAAAAGTTTTCTAGGAACCAAACAGGGCCCAGTTTCATTAAATATTTCTATAAACAAGCCAGGTGAGAATCTTATAGAATATTAAACAACTGTGCAAAGAGGACTAATTTGGGTGGAAAGAGTCAAATATCTAAAAATATTTCCCAAATGTGCACAGACATACTGAAATAACCAAATGGTGAAATAAGTATTATACTAAGTTCACCTGAAGCCCAGGAGGAAATAAAATAAACCCTACACAAGTGCGAAACATGGAGATACCAAATGGAGGCTCTACACAGAAGATTAGGAATTAGAATTGAAATGTAGCTGGCAGGAGTAACAGCATGTCATTACTGGAAAAAGTCAACTGAAGCTTTGCTTGTATTAACAGGAAAATCGTATCTGTGCAGGTAGCTGGGAGCCAGGGTGTGCTGGAGAGCTCCTGCTGACACCTTCCTTTCCATACTCCGTGTTCCTCTGCCCTGCTGATCGCCCCACGATTCCCACATCCATACACAGCACAAGATGGAGGGCGCTCTTCCTCTGACCTCCAGTCGGGTGTGATCACGTGGTAGCAGGAGACAGGAGAGAGGCCAGGGTGTCCACTGAAGAGGTCGTTCCACAGTTGACTGAGTCCTGGCCATGCCGAAAGTCATACCACTACCTCGCAATCATCTGCACTCAGCCCTTCCTCCCCCACCTCTGGATTTCCATAACAACTTCTTTTCCTCTCTCCTTCACAGCAAAGGGTGGTAGGGATACTCTGCATTGTTAGCCTTAGGTATCCCCCAACCCCTTTGGATGTTTTGTAAATAGTTCCTTTACTTAAGTCTCCTCAAACTGTCCTATTTGTATGACACCTATTTTATGTGTGGATCCCAGCTAATAAACATACATTTATGATATATCTGCCATATGCCAAGCACTCACTATGAGCTGTTGCATGTAATGATTTTAATATGCCTCTGAGGGGGGTTCTACTGTTATCTGGCATGTGTCATAGATAAAGAAGTGGAGGCATCTGTAGGGTGACTTAGCTGAAGTGGGTGCTCAGTGTGCATTTGGTCCCAAGTTGTCTGACTTCAGTCCTGCGCTGGTAGCCACTATGCCCTGCTCACTCTGTTCAGGATAGGTCAGGTCCCACCTCAGAACACATCTTTCACCTTGATTTTTTACAGTCAGAGAAATTGAAACAAATATGTGTTTACTGACAGCCTAGGAAGAATGGAAGGTTGTCATAAATGTGAGAAATGTGTAGAATGTGAAAATTTTCGCCGTCTTTCTGGAAAACAATTTGGCAACAAGTAAGAAGGACCTGTAAAACTTTCTCTGAACCTTGGGCTCAGCACTCCCACTTATAAAAGTCTACCCCAAGGTAATGAAGATATCAACAGTGACAGTTTCTAGGATGTTCATTGGTGAGGGAGTTACATGGATAAAATGTGAAATAATCTAATGTTTAACAATAGAAAAATGGTTAAATTAATCGCTGTACACCTATGTCTATGTATACATTCACATACATACTGTGAAATATCAAAACTATTAAAATTGTGTCTTTAATGAGCTTGAGAGATTCTCGCATTGTTAATATGCTAACCAAAGATTGTCAAACTACGGACTCCATGTTTTGAGCTGTACATATGTGCATGTGTATGTGTACATATATATCTAGGAAAAATGATTTTGAAACAAAACAACAAAATATTAACTGTGGTTATATTTACATTTAGAAATGTGTGTAATCATTTTTCTGCATAAGTTTCTAAAATTGCTAATTGTATATAATATACTGGAAACACAAAATTTAAAACCAACAGTAGATAACTATGAACTATTGTTAAAATAATAAGAATTACAATATAATACCTGAAAAAAAGGACATTTGAGATAGTGTGGCTAGAAAACTGTGGAGAGGGCTTTATATTTTATCTTGGAAGGCTCAAAAGGAACCTAAAGCTACAGAAACTAAAGGGACATTTGGTTAATAAAAGGAGAATTCTGATGAGATTTTAGTCAATGGAAGCAAGTTGCCTCTAAAGTTTTTAATTTTGCTATCACTGCAAGGATTCAGAAGTTGATCATAATTTTCAGGAATCTTTTTATAATCATGTGTGCTCCATACAGATTGTTAAGCATAGGATTCTGTCACACTGGAGATGATAAAATGTAGATGAAAACAGACAATGAAGTCTAATTATTTCCTTCTCATCAGAGGTTTCTTTTCTGGGACAAGGTATTATTGTTTCTGAGAATTCTTTTTTAATCTTTTCCTTTGCAGACAAAGTAGAATGGCTTGCAACACTGAAAGGTAGTTCCTTTGGGAGCAGGACATATATATTTCCAACATTTATACTTATTGCCCACAATCGTTCCAACTACATAGTCTACTTCTAACACCTCAGGTTTTTATTTCTCTTTTTTGCTGCAGTTGTTATTTTGTTATTGTTGTTTAAAGTAAGGAAGCCGACATACCAAATCTGGTTAATACACCACTCCAGATCCAATCCAACTTGCACATCTGGGGCCTCGGGAGCATATCTCACTTCCTAGCTGGATATCCTCCTACCACTTACTATGTTTTCTAGCCAGTCCACTAACTACCTGTAAATAAAATGAGTGACAAAAGCCACCTCTATCCATCTCTAAAGCTTTCTAGTAAACTCCCTGCTTGCCCTAACCCTCCCCACCTCTGTTAACTAAGCAACCATGTGATGTTACCCTTCCTTCCCCAAAATCCATCCTCATGGAGCTCTATTCCCATTGTGCTTTAAATCCTTGTGCCTTTACTCACCCACTTTCAGCTCCCCTCCTGCAATGACCAGGCATGCCACACTCAGAACATTGCTCCTGTCCACAGGGAATTCCAGAGTCCCCAGCACATAAAGGCCCTTGAGGAGTGGAAGATCAGTATCCACGAGAACAGTCTTGTCTGCAAAAGAAAAGGAAATTGCTCAGTTGTATACCTAAAACAAGAATCACCTTCTCTCTTCTAGTGATTTTTCCTCGGGTTCTCCTGGGAATTCAGGAGCTGCTAACATTGCAGCCTACGCTAGGACACGTGCAGCAACTGGAATAAATAGTCTGCCAGAGGCAAGGTCTTATTTAAAAGACCATGATTGCTAAGTGTTGCCTTTGCTTAATACAACGATTATCACAGCCAGAAGGCGTGGCTTATGCCACCAGCCCACAGCACTGCAAGCTTCCTACTCTTTGTCCCTTCCCTTCATTTTTGGCTCTAGTTTCAGGAAGGTACAAGACATTGGTCTCTGAAGACAGGTAAATCCTAGCCTTACTACTTAATATATGTGTAAACTAATAGCTCTCTCTGTATCTCAGTGATGTCTTCTGTGAAATGGGAATAAAAATACTTCATTCATTCATAAGATTTAGGGAAGGGTGAAATTAGTTAATGGATCTAAACTAATTAATGTTTATATAACACTAGCAAGCCTCCTGCAATTCTCTAATCCCCTGTGTGAGGCAAAGGACACGGTGCGTGCTCTGTAAGGGCCACACGAGCTTATGGCTGGTACTGCTGCCTGGTTTTTTGGCATGCTAATACAGCTCATTGACAGTTTAAAAACATAATTCTTCATCTCTCCCTTCAGAAAAGCCATTTCCATAAAATTTAAAAGAAAGAATCATAGCTTTTGCCTGAAATTAACAATAAAGTAATATATAAATAAAACCTCTCAACTAAAACAGTAAATATTTCGTGTATGCTGAAGTATTAAGTGTTATTTTCTGGAGCTTAGGGGTAATTCTGCATAAATTAAAGACATCAAGTAAATGTTTCTGCTTAAATTGTAAGTACATAATCACTGACATATGTAAAGATTTTTAAGGCACTCTTGTTAACAGAGTCTAATTTCTCATCCCAGGAAACAACACACCCTGCTGTTCTAAAGGACTTGTCCAAGCAAATTAATTTTGCATGAGTTGCCTTTCCTAGCCCTTACCTGCTTCCCTAGTTATAAGGCTAACCATGAATCATGCAACAGAGACCGAGGACTGTAATTTTCCTCTTGGAGTCCATAAGAGTCTAGTTTCTAGTCTCTTTCCATCACTATGAATTATAGCCAATCAAATGTAAGCAGAGGGCTTGGTGTAGCCAATGAGGAGATTGGGAGTGGCTTAATATCAGAGGCCAAACTCAGCTTGCATCCTAATGGACCAGAGGTGGTGTGGATGATACTGGGCCAGGACCGTACTTTCAGAACTACTCTGTGTCCAAGAGAGAGGACAGAGAGAGAGAGAGAGGCGCAACTCGTTCTTCAAACGCCAGTGACACCCTCATAATATTTACTTCAGAGCACAAAAATGCATCATCCAAATCACATACATACATTACTGTGTATAACACACCAACTCTTACTGGGCTGGTGGACAGTGTAATTACGTTTTCCTCTCCAAGTGTTACAGAATGAGGCTATTCACTTTTCATATCCCCCACACTTGTAATATAAAGATACTAAATAAATGTCGTACACATCTCTTGAGTTTGGTCCCCTACATAATTTAAATTACAGAATGCATCATTGACTGATAATGGAGGATCGGACTAAATAAATAATATGTATCTCTATGTCATCTCTGGTACTCTTCAAAGCATTCAAACGAAAGAGTGACATAGCAGAGAGAATGTTCTAGGTTTGGCACACAATTCATGGGATTTTGGTTTCAAGATAAAAAGCCATGTAAAGCAAACACTTTTAAAAGGAAGAGTTTTATAAACATGGACTTTTCTATTCCAAACTATGGTCCATTCCACCAATTCTGAGCTATTAAACTTGATTGCACAAAACAATAGAATTGATTCAATAAACGCTTTCTGTCACCCACATGGCCCCCCACACACAATAGTAAGTGCTTTAAACATGCTTCTGAGCTAAAATATGATTGTTTAAATTTGCCTCTCTGTCTTTATCATGTATCCTTCCTGGAAAAAGTTTGTTTCTTCTTAACTGCTCTATCCACTCCAAATGTACCACAGATTTCTCAGCAGTTTGGGAGATAAACCACCATGACTGCATAAGGACAGGAGCCACAGCTGGCCATCCCCACTTCTGTGTTCTCAGGACCACAGGTGATGAACCATACCTAGCCTACAGGAGTGCGAAAAAAGAGCAGCAAGCAAAACATACACAGATACATACAATCCAGTGGCTCTCAGAGAAAGACAGTAGGAGAAAGGTAAAAGTGGAAACATCATTCTTCCTCATTTTGATGCCATACTGTTCGCTTTTAAATTTCCTGGATTCATCTATGCGTCTGTTTTGTTGTTCTTCCTCTTCTCCCAGCACATGCCCAGTCTGATAAAGTGGTGGGCAATCATCCCACCCTCAGATAAAGACAAGTAAACAAAATAAGTACCATGTGCCAGTGTTGGAATGATTCTATGGCCTTCAGTTATATGAAGGTTGCTACTGTCTTCATCTCCAGCTACTTCAAATTGCACTCTATCGATGGGTCTGTTACACCACAATCTGCCAACGTTAAATAAATGTATCCCCTATAAAACATTTTATAAGGGGATTCTCCTTGTAATCCCAACAATAAAGATTACAATAACACAAGCAGAAGAACTCACACTGATGGAGTCCCCAGCGCAGACCAGCTGCCAGCACAGATTGACCACTTCTCAGCTATGATGACAGCTGTTGGGGTGTTCTTGGTATTCTAGGTGTGAATTGGGAGCAATATGCCACATTCCCCAACAATATGAGTTAATTCCAATAAAATGTGGGAGGAATTGATGTCTGACTTTCCTCTACAAGTAGGATCCTTTCGGTAAAATTACTCAACACATTTCATAGGAATCACTCAGGAATCATTATGAACCCACTTCACAAACATTAAGGATGGAACACTCCTAATTGAACTGCGGCCCAGTGCTTTCCACTTTGCCCCCACTTGGCCATGGCTCTCCCACCGCACTCTGTCAATGACCAATCTATCCTCCTTGAGAGAATGAGCCCCGGCATATGGAGGGAACCATCTGGAATTTCTGTGGCTCAATGGGAGGCCTATAGGGGAGCTGATCTGGAAAGAGGCTCCAAAAAGAATTAATGAGTTGCAGATGTAATTAAAGACTGGTTCCCCCCAAAGGGGCCCAGGACCAGCCATGGGGTGGTGCTTCTTGGTTCCGAATTACATCCTCTTCTCACTAGTTCATCCATCAGGCTCTAAACACCCACCATCCTTATCCCAGCCTCCTTGCCAAGAAATGTACGGTTTTGTTCCTGCAAGTGTTCTATTGTAACAATTAGAAAGATAAAGCTTCAGAAAAACATCAGAAAATTAATGCTAAGAAGAACCCCTGCAGTTTCCCCATTCTCCAAATGTAATAGCAAGAACAACAACAAAAGCAAAAGGAAAAAAACAACAAAGAAGATCTAGCCTTTTAAGTGCTTTAGCTACCCATCAGACTAGAAAACCTGACCTAAATCAAAAGACAGAGATCTCTGACAAAAGGCTGGCACTTCTTTGGTATTAGCAATAATTTGACAGCTATAGTTACAAAGTGCCCCATGTAGTTTCAACACTAGATTTAAACTCATTTTCTTTTGAAGCAAAGTTTGGGAATCAAGCTCACTATTGTAGCATTCCAAGAGTCTGACACTTGTCTTAATCCTGTAGAAATGAGAACAAGGGCAAAGGGCGCAGATCCTGGGAATAATGATGGGGTCACAGAAATAATTTAGAGGAGGCAGAGCCACTGTGTGTGTGCTATTCACTGTGTCAGGCCCCATGACTTAGGTGGTAAAGACAGTTTCCACTACAAGCCAGCCATTGTCAGAAAGACAGCCTGCACCAAGTTAGAATACAGTTGAGACTTCTGGGGAAGACCTCTGGCGTGCAGAGGCAGAGCAGGACATACAAGGACCGTTTGTAGGTTGCTATTTTCCTGCACCTTCCATATTAATGGTTTCTTTCTACATTTGGTCTTGGCTGCAATACTTCCCTAGAAATAAATATGTGAACCGAAGGAAAAGTGAGTTTTAATGCCCGTTAAATCACTATTAGCTGATCTAACCATCCTTTTTAAAAAGAGAAGAACATTTGTAGCTTAAAAGTGACTACCTGAAATATTTTTACTGTACCTTTTACACAATGATTTGTAGTGTTTTCTTTCCTTTACAGTCTTATTTACTTTTTGGAGAATCTAATGATTCACTCAAACAGTTTATCATAATTTACATATATGGCTAATATGCCAGAGAAATGGGCTCCATAAATTGTGGAAGCTGTCACGTGTAACTCATTCACAGGGATGAAAGGTTAACATGATTATAAATTAGTGTCAAGTAGACTAATTTACTGAAATGAAGGTATTTGGTTCCCAAGTTTTCCTTCCTTGGTGAAAAAAAATGAGCCAAAATAGCGTTGGAAGTTAAGGGTGCAGTCTTTCCATAACTGAGCTCCTTTCAGAGACCTGCAAACATTATAGCCTTCCTTTGTCATCAAATCCGCACAGGTGGGTTTTTATTCTATTTTGCATACCATTTTTTTCAAACTGGTCTTAAAAATAGGCAGAAGAGACAGTTTTCAAAGTGCCCAGAGGCACAAGATTCAACACTGAAAGTCAGTTTCCAAAAACCTTCACAAAGAACCATCTGCCACCCACTTACCTGGCATGTTGTAGTGTGTGTGTGTGTGTGTGTGTGTGTGTGTGTGTGTGTGTGTGTGTGTAGAGAGAGAGAGAGAAAGAGAGGATGAAAACAGAGCAACCCTCCTCACTTACCCAAGAGGAAGAGACCCACTGAACCTTGTGTGATAAATTGTTATTTCACCTTCTGCATGCACTCTCTGTGTCTTTCTCAACCACATACAGACATGCATAATTTGCATAGTAGAATCAACACTCTAAATTATGATATTTTAATTGATCAATAAAATGTTTAACATACAATGTTTATCCCTTCCTCT